GCTAGAGGAAATGCTGCTTAAATTTTTACAAATCCAATGAGTTAGTCAAATTTTTTCCTTTACAGATTCAACTTTTGTCCGAGTTACATATCTGGCTTAGTGAAAATATGGGAACCCTACTTTTCTAAAGGAGGCGTTGCCTATCCCCAAACTTTTCGTTTTTTTCCTTTTTCATGGAATTGACCTCTTTCTTATGTATTTTGCGTCACAGACTTGACTACAACCGAGTAATGTCAACACTCTTGTCTACTGGAGGCATTATCTGTTGGGGAGGTTCTTCTATTTGAGGACTAACCGTCAGACACAAGTGGATCAAGACACAACCTGTTCTCTCCGCACTCAAACGATGGATTGAGGTTATAGATCAATACGACTTTAAGCTAGATCATGTGAAAGGGGAATGCAAGAAGGTTGTTGATGCGCTGTCACGAAGGGCGGACTACCTAGTTGCGCTGATAACTGAGTTTGGGTGATCGGATGATGTAACTCGATCCTTGGTTGAAGCTTACAACGAAGACGCCGTCATGATGGATATTATATGCAAGCTTGAGGCCGAAGATAAGGCCACATCTGACGAGTTTTTGATGGTGAATGGGCTGCTCTTTTCAAAAGGCTGTGTATACCGTCTAGTGAATCTTTACGTAGTTTGTTTTTAAGGGAGTGCCATGATGCGACAAGACATTTCGGGTATAAAAAGCCTAGTGCTAACTTAGTGCAACATTTCTGGTGGCCTGGTATGCTTGACGATGGGAAGAGTTACGTTCATACTTGTTAAGTCCGTCAGATGGATAAACCGCGAAGCCAAGCACCGCTTGGGTTACTCAAACCCTTGTCCATTCCAACAGGTTCATGACAAAGCGTTTCCATGGACTTCATGGACACCCTTGTAACAGGCAAGAGTGGCAAGAGGCACATTTTCATCATAGTGGACAAGTTTACTAAATACGCTAGAATAATCGCCATGCCTGAGACTGCAAAGACTGAGCACGTCATCAAGTTATTTATGGATAACTGGGTGCATGATTTTGGATTGCCCAAGTCTATCGTCAGCGACAAAGATGTCTGTTTCACAAGCGAGATGTGGAAGAAGGCTGCTGACCGGCCGCAACTCCTGGAACCATAGACTTTGGTGTCCAGTATGAGAAGATGTTGCTGCAGGCTGTTGAGCATGTCAGAGAATCCTCTGAGAACAAACACAAACGACAGTCCACATTCAGGTTGGGGAATGTGTCTGGGTAAGTCTAGTGAGCTAGGACAAGAACTCAGCATCTCTTGAAAGCTAATGCCTCGGTACTTCGGTCCTTGAGAAGTTCTGGATATTGTGGGTAGCGATTTGGATGGGCCCTCAGATGTGATAAGAATCCCTGGTCATCTGCGCAGTTACCCTGTTTTTCATGCCTCAAAGCTTGCACCTTTCGCTGAGACTGACAAGTTTCCTTCCAAAAGATCAATGCTGGCCCCAACCATGGATGGCCACATGGACATTGACGACATTGTGGATCATTGAGATCTGCCTGTTCCTAAGCCTGTCGGCAGAGGAAGACTACCTAAACCAGTGAGGGAATACTGGGTCATGTTGAGACATCATACGGATCCCGGTGAAGATCGCTGGTTCACAAAGGAGGAGCTGGTCAAGACAGCACCTCAGATTGTTTCTGACTATGAACGGAGGTTGAAGGGGAAAGCACCTGCATAGAAGCATCTCAGCGGACTTTTGAAGCTAAGGGGGATGGAATGCGAGGATTTAGCCCTCACATGGCTGCAAGGCCGCTGCCTCCAGTTTCCTAAGGGGGGCCCCAGCAAGCATGTCACCCGCCCTAAGTGAAGGCGGGCCTGAGAATCTTAGAGGGCCCCCAAATCTGCCAATTCTGTGTGTTGGGCGCCAGACAGTAGCCACGTGCCAGTTGGTTGCAAATGCTCTGCTCCTGAGAATCAGAATCTTCAAGGAAGCTTCCAGGCTCCCGGAAGCTTCGACGTGGAAGCGAGCCTCTCGGCCTATCAGAAAGCAGGGAAGACGTCACAGAGCCCGCGGGGTGTGTTGGGTGCATCTTGAAGCTGCGGGCCCAGGCAACTGTCTCCATGGGCCTCCGCACAGACACTTTGGGCCGATGTGAAGCTACTGGGCCTCTGCACGCCAGGCCCAGCCAGGCCGATGGCAGGGCTCACTTTCCATAAGCGAGGACATTTTGGCCAGACATGCAATGCGGCCATGCTGCTGCGTTGCTGGGCGAAGCAATGCTGCGCTAGTGCTGGCCAGGGCGCGCACGGGCGCTGAGTGGTGAGGGGCACTGCTGCGGCAGCAGGTGCCAGGCGGCCATAGCCGAGCTGCTGGGCGCAGAGTCGGTAATCGGGGGTGGTGGTCTTCGGGTGTCGGGGATGCACACTGTGGGGAGTCGAGGAGTGAGGTGAGAGGAGACAGATACGTACCTGGTGTATGTTGGCAGTCTGCATGGGTGACGTCGTCACGTACATTGGTCTTCAGCATCGAAGTGAATCCTGTTGCATGAACGTAGTGTAGGCTAGAGTAGGCTGAGTAGGATAGGCTGGGCGCTGGGCGCCAATCAGGACGAGCGGCATTGGATACTATGTTGATGTGGCGATAGAGTGTCGATGTTGACATTTGAGTTCATTGGATTGCACTTATTTGGCTGTATCTCGTTGCATTTTGCTTTCTGCTTGGTGTACGACACTCTGGGCTGCTTCGTGATTTTGCAATTTGGATTTCTGTCTATTGCTCTCGCACATATTCCTTGCAATATGGTTTCCGGTTAGGGAATTTGGTGCGGCATTAATTTATCGATTATGATTATGGATTGATATATCTGTCCCACTCGCTCTCTGTGATAAATGTCGGGCTATTTGCATCTCTCTGTGTCCATTTCTACCTCTCTTTGCCTCTCTTTCTTCCTTTGTGGATGTGTGGACCTCTCTTGGTGTGCCTGTCCCCTCCCTCCTACTTCCTGCCTCCCTGGCAAATGCACTCACTTGCAACTGCAATGTCGCGCATTTTGCATTAAACCACCACTACCTTTCTCATATATGGGCCACGGGCATTGCACGCCAAGTTCGGCCAATGGATGTGGTCATCTCTGGAGGACGAATCGGGCCCCCGATCCCAGGCTGGGAAAGGTACTGGTGGTTTAAGTACTGGACTCAAGTTGGATGGATGGCATGATTTTGAGTTTGAGTTAGTCGTTTGAAACATTCAAAAGATAAATGCCACAGTAGGCTGTTTTCATTGCTAGATAGTTTGGCTATGGAAAAGTTAATTGTTAGTCTCCTGTCGGATTTTAGAAATGCACAGTATTTGAACTGGTGAATGATGCACAAATGTAACTTTGCAGGTCATTGCTGCTCAGAAACCACGTATTATGATGCAACTTTCTGCATGGTTTGGTCATCTGTTGTTACAATGTCGTTGGCTCTCTGTACGGTGCTCTGTTTTTCTGTGTGTGTGTGTGTGTGTGTGTGTGTGT